TGAAATACCGATTGCCGATGATAATTTGGAATAAGAAAAAGGAGTTCGATCGGAGCCTCTTTGGTTTCTTTGTTGTTCGTGATTGTAACCCTTTACACTCGGGTTAACGGTGAATTGGTACGAAGCGACTAAAAAACTTGAAATGTTTACGAAAATGTAGTGTAACTCGTAACGAAGAAAAACCTCCCTAAATAAAATTCGAAAAGGATCAGAATCCAGCATCTTTTGATAAATAAACACTCTACGCGAACCTCGTTGGTGAAGAGATCGAATGGTATTCCAAGTCGATAAATTCGAGTCCCTCTGATTAATCGAGGAAGGGGGAAAAATGAAACGAGGGCCACTTTGATTCCTCGTTACGTGTACGGGTTATTGGCTGTTTACGTGGATATTCGCGCGATTAATTCGACGGTAATGCGCTCCTTTGCTGCGGTGGTGGTTCGACGTTGTTACGTCCGCCAGAGCATTCGTGTCGGTGCTCGGATTACATAAGAAATGCGCCTCTGGTGCACGTACACGTGTACGTGTACGCAATAACGGAAGCCTCACACCTATGTAACTGCACCGCTGCACGGTTATTTGCCGGAGACGTTGGGGCGGGGTGGAAGAACCCGATATCATAAATCTTTTCGCGCAAGGGGATCGCAATTATCTCTGCGCATTAAATGCATCGCCAGTGTCGATGGGATCTCTCTCTGCCGACTGGCTGAGATCTTTCGTCGTGTCGACGATGACCAACGTTCTTATCTACGCGCGAATTTGAAGAGATCTCTACGAGACGTTTATATTTTATTTAAAAAATACGAATATTCTGCAAGGAATCATTTCCTTCCCCTAAAAAAACTTCTCCGCTGTATTAAAAAAATATGAATTTACTGCTGTTACAGAGATTCAGCACTAATTATCGAGAGGGTTGCGGAGAGGTGAAGTTTGAGAAGCACTGATCTAGGTTCGGGCAGGTTTCCTTCATTTGCGTCACGCTGTTGGAACTTCTGAATTATAACCCCATATTGCGATGGTGTTTCATGCGTCCTGACTATGAGAAATATTACAGCTTTTTTCGTATGATAATGCGTTTCTGGAGATACGTCGTCGCGAGATAACGCGCGCTTAGCTCTGGTGGCTGGTGACTTTGTAATTACCTCGACTGGTCGAAGCGAGGGACTGTGTTCGCCACAGAGATAATTTCGACGCTGTTTCTCGTATTAAGCTAATTGGCTTGATCACCGTCCGGAAGAGCTCGTGTCCAGGACGCTTCTCCGAGATTCATACGAACCTTATCCGCTCGGCTGATCAAGTGAAAAAAAAATTACAACCCGTCTGATGAATAACAAAACTGACGGTGTAGAATACGAAACAATGATCGTATCTTTTTTATTTGAGATCCTCTCTTTGGTCCTTTCAGACAAATTATTTATCGTCAGGAAAGGTGCGTATAGATTTTGTATCAATGACAACGAACGCGTGCATTGAAAACCCAGTGAAACGCGATGACGGTGCATCCGCAAACGCGGACGAAGTAGCTCGTTACGTTGGCAGAATTATTTTCCACGGGAACGTAGTTCATATCCGGATTCATTAATCGTTCGTGAGCATGAAACTGATTCTATTTAATTCGAATAATTGAATGTTGCATTTACCGGGGATAAATGTGTAACGAGCACGTACAGTGTTGCGAGAAACTCAAGCGTAAACAAGACATTTTCCTATTTACAATTACCTTTTTTCATCGGTAATAAATAAAGCCGTTTATCGTACAGTCGTTAGTCGCGATTTTTATCCGGATAAGAATTTCGCCTACCTCTGTCCTCGATGTTAAGAATCGCGAGCATCACGTGACGTTCGGCAGTAAACGGCAAAACCGATGCGCACTCGAGTGCTGGAGTGTTTCGCGGGGCAGCCAACTACGCCGGAATTTCTTAACCCATGTAACGCCAATGTCCCGCAAAAGGTGCCAGGGAATCTCGGCGGTTTCACCGAGCAAATGCCCGGAGAGCACCTGCATCTATAAAATTGAGCTATGCATTATTCATGGAGTCCTGCTTATAGCGCGCTTAGCTCGGCTGGGTGTTTTGCAACGTGGAAAGAAACGGCCAGCAACGGCCTGGAATGGATAGGCAGATAAATTGATATGAAGTTTATCATGATTGGTTGCCCTGTAAGGGTAATAGGATCGAGCGGGGAACTAATAGACACTGTTAAAAGAGGTTCGCGGGGGAATCCGAAGAAGAACGCCGGCGAGAAACCGAAGAAAATCGAGGATCAGGTGATTATTGAAGGAAGATCCGATGGATCTTCGGCGAGGATCGAGCGGTTCTTGCGCGGAGCATGATCGAACGTAGTATTGAGCAAACCTATGGAGGCCGCGTGGATCTTACTTAATCAGGCTCTGTAGCGCGATCATAAATGCAAATATATATTATAACTTTTTTTTACAACAGAGTCAACTATAATAAACAAGTGGTGAAACAAGAAAGTCATGACAACTAATCCGAAGATTCTCTGCCTGATCCAAGTACTACGACAATTAGAGGTATGAAATATGGTGGAAAACGGTTTTCCTGATTAACATGCTCGCGTGAGGAGGCGCGAAGCAGACAGTGAAGGATCGATACGTTTGCCAGAGCCACAGGAAATACAAGTTATTCGATGAAGCGAGAAAAGACGTAAACGTGCCGACATCTGTGAGCAAGTTCAGGCACTCGATCCTCTTTCTTCCTTTGACTGGCAGCAAGCACGAGCCAGCATCGTCAACTGGACCTTTTATCGGCGAATCGGGGAGCTGGTAGCAGCTTCCGAGCCCTGCCGAGAGATGGTCTCGAGACCGTCCAATGTTTAAACAATAATCGAATCGAAATTGAATGCACTTATCCAAGTACAATTTTAATCCTTCGTACTGCATCCTGACGTGCAATAAACACCACTACCAACGGTTTGTTATTTTATTCCTATATCCTCGACTCTGTCCCGACATTACAATGAAAATAATGCAAAGTATACTGTTAACTTACACGAAAATTCAGCAGGCTTCTCGAAGTTAACAACAAAATCAAAAACTTTCCACTCGATCCGTTTCGAAGAGACGACTCATCCTCGCAAAGTTCACCGAACAACTGAGCAAGGGTGGCAAGAAGGCAAACTCGGATCGAGGAAGCGATCGCTGGCTGACCTTGCAAGATTGCGGGATTCCTTCGGATTTGGCGAACAATGACCCACGAAAGAGTGAAAGGGAACAAGAGCAAAGACAGCGGCGGTGCTGAAACCTGTGCTCTTACCTAACCCCGGGACAGATACTTCCGAGTCGAGGGGGAACGGCCATTATCACTTCGTTATTGCCGTCATAAATTTCCAACTCGTTACACCGGAATTACCCCTGCGATTCTTTACAGTCACGGACGGCCCGAGGAAATTTCGGTAAACCTTTTCCGCGCAACAACCCCGTCGTATATCAGCAAGCAGGTGGTCCGCTCGGGTTCTCCGTTCGTCTCATCCGAGTTAACGAGTTCGATCGGAGAATATTATTTGAAGCAAGTTAGAACGTAATTTCGCTAAACCACCCCCCATAGATGTAATGTAATCGCATCTTGTGCAAAGGGTTGACACGTTGGCTGCCAACTTAAAACTCGTGAAAATTGTTATAGAGTTAAAATTATGTCTCGAGAGTTGAAGTTTAGATAATTTAATATTTGTCGCACTATAGAATTTTGTAACGTCTGTCCAGATTTATTTTCATTATTGCCTCACCTTTGGAATTCATTTTTCTAGTTCCTTGACAAAATGTCCTGTCACCCATTGCTGGCCGACATGACGTGGCACCAACGCGTTAATATTTGAATAACAACGAAAGAGAAAGCCGTTGATCGTCTCCCAATAATTTTTACTCGACAGATTCGACTCCGTTTGGATCCGCGAAGGTGAAAACGAAGGAACTAGTTCAACGCAACGGAAACAAGCGACCCCACGAGTTATCATGGGAATAAAAGTGGATGAGCGGAGACTCTGCCAAGCTGCGGAGCCAACGCGAACGCAGCCAGCAAAATAACTTTTATGGGGGGGAGCAGGGAGAGGGGCCAGGGGGGCAGCACGGTGTACGGTGTGGTGAAACTACCGGGCTAAAAGGTCAGGGCAATAAATAACTCGGGACGTCGGTATACCTAGAAACTGGAGACATTATGCCAATCTTGGCTTGCGAACCGTACAAATGTGGTCTAGTTTTACCTACCGTGTTGCATAAATCTGAAAGCAGCCGGCTACCTGACGCCCTCTCTAGAAACCTTGCTTTCTACGAAACCTTTTGCCTCGCACAAGAGAGAAGCCTTGAGCCTATTTTCGAGAACCGCGTCACGTGTTCTGATTACGTTTCCGTGCCCGCGAATATATAATCCCCTGTTTTTCTCTTCGGTTACAAGGATTTTGTTTTTAAAGCGAATTGATGTCTTCCGCGTGGCTTCGGAGGTCGCACGGGGAAGTAGAAAGAAGACGCGAATGGAATAACTCGCGAGTAGCCTCAGGTTTGTACAGCTACGGCTTTCTATCTTTTCTAAATTTATGTAAATAGCGTTAAGAGGTGTCGTTCGCTTGATTTAACGCGGCAATGCAGTGATAGAATATCCTTAACGAAGAACGCGCTAAGAGATATCCGGAGCGAAACGCCGTAATTGATGCCTTACATCGAATAAATCACACCTCTTTGCATAAATCGACTGCGATTCTTACGAGCGGATAAATCAAACTAATTTATGTTTATTATGCAAATAGTCCTCATCGATGGATCATTAAACATCGTAAACTGTCGATAACGTTTAGCACGAGTATTAAGAGATTGAGCTATTTCATACTGTACTTAATTATTCTACACAAGAAGCGAGAACCGGTTGCTTGCGATTAGAGTCTCATGCGAATCTCTGCGTGGCCTTTCGCTGCCATCTTCTCGAATTACTCGTGGGACCGAAATACTGATTTTATAGCCGAAAAAAAAAGAGAGAGAGACGAAAGCTTACCGAATTGACTTCTCATCCACGGGTAGAGCGGACTCGGTAGGTTGGCGCTCGCCGCGCCTTGAGGTGCACCTTGTTGTTGCTGACTGAGCGGCGACGCGACCACCCCTTGGTGCTGGGGGGCTTGTTGCTGTTGCTGGGGATGCATGCCGGGTTGGGGCTGTTGCGTCGCCGCCTGCGTCTGCTGTTGCTGCTGGTACATCATGTGCTGCTGCTGCGCTTGGAGATGTTGATGGGGCTGCTGTTGCTGCTGATGAGGAGGTTGCTGGGGCTGCATGTGAGGATGCTGGGTGTGCATCTGGTGGTGCATCTGAGTCTCGACGAGCGGCGGGCTATCCGGTCCATCGAGCACGCTACCCTGATGATCGACCGCAGCCGCTTGAAGCTTGCAACTCGCGTAGACAATAGGAGTGGACGGATGTCCGTTCGGGGTCGGCGTGTGTCCCATGTGGCCCATAGCGGGGCTGGGCGACGTCGACCTGTAACCACCCATGCCATCGATGTTCCCGTGCTCCTGCTGATGCTGATAATAGCTCGCGTTCCGCATGTCAATCCGATTGTACGGCGGAAACCTCGGATAAGGCATATCTTGCTGGCTGCCCGCGGCCCCATAGTGATGGCCGGGCACTCCCTGACGTAGGAGACTGGGGTCGCAAGGATCCCCGGGTTGCTGAGACTGCTGCTGAACCGATTGGGTTTGCTGGGGCACCTGGACGGCGGCACCGTAGGGCTGCTGATGCTGATGCGGGTGTTCCAGCCCGCCATTACGCAGGTCCGGGATGTACGAATTCGCGAAGTACGAACTCATGCTACTGTCCCACCTGTCCCACCTGCTAATGCCACCTCGGTCTTTTTGCGTGCTCTCACTCTCCGTCTTTTGTCCACGATCCGTATCCGCCTACTTCCTCTCGTATCTGTCTTTGTTTCTTTTTTTTTTTTGTACTCTCTGCGTACGGACACACACTGTCACTCGTCCCTTAAATATGTATACACCTAAGCTATTTATACATACAATATCACCTTCTTCGCGTCGCGATTCTTCTCGGTTGGCTTTCCTCGCGAGACACCTCTCTCACTCTCGGACGACACGCGCGACACACTCTTTTTTTCTTTTTTATCACACCACCATCGTCGCGAATCACTCGCGTATCGTCGAATATTTCTCTCTTCTTTTCGCCCGTTATATCACACTGGACCTCACCAACGGAGAAAGAAAAACCAGAAACTGGAGCACTACAGAACCGTGTGTTATCAAACCGCTGGCTTGATCTGGGGTAAGGGGGAGGGGGAGGGGCTAACTTGTACACGAGGGGAGGGGAAGATGGTAATCAGAGTTCTTCGTCTTCTTCGGTGTGGTACCTTCGTTCAAAGCGCCAAGCCGCACCAGACACGTTCCGTTCCTCTGTCCACCCTGCTAACGAAGTTGTGCCGCACCTGCAACAAGAAACAACGAACGACTCGTATTAATTTCCGGCGCGTTATCGACTGGTAATCAGGGTCAACGATTACGCGATGAGAGAGACAACAACCGTAGGACGACTATAGGTTCCAACGTCGCGGACGACGGGACGAGTAAAAGCTCCGCGTGCTGATCTTTGTCCGACGAACCGAATGAAGCGGAGTTTGACTCTGAGTGACAGAAGGCGAGGTACACACGTGCTCGTCACGGTGACGGCCATCGCCCAGACGCCTAACTTGCTCGGGGCCTTCTGTGTGGGCGGGCTAAACGATCGTTAAATTTGGAAAAATTCCCGTCCATTAAGCAGCATGGCTACTGAACGCTTCACCGGGATTCTCCCCGACCTACTAATTTTTTTGTTGCACCCGCCGCCGGGTCTCCTTGCGCCTCGTTAGTGCCGTAACTGGAAGCACGCGGGTAAGTCCTCGACTTACGCGGTTTACTTGTTCTAATACCGCATAAAATAAAATTATACATATGTAAAGAAAGACCAGACTGTACTACCGATAATACTTCTTAAAATTGATCTTTTATTTCGCATGAAGTTCGCACTGCAACAAAAGCGAATTACGATTTAATTATGTAACTCGCAAGTGGACAAATGTCCAAGGTGAATAATTCTGTTGTTCGTGGTTTGATAATGATGTTCGCGATTAATTCCTGGGATTCCTCATTCACATAAATAGAATTGTATCGTATAGTCAGAAACCACGTGCAAGAGGATTGCTCGAGGAAATAAATAAACCTGGATTCAAGTGTTTCTGAGATTCGAAAAATAAGTTGAATAGCTGTTAAGAGATTCAAAGTTGGCGCGGTAAATTAGGGTTCCGAGAAATGGACGACCGTAAGATTATGTCGGTCCTTTATCGGCGGGATCTCGTCGAACCTTCCGAACCTTCCCGATCTCTCGATCCCTACCGGAAACCTTCTATACCGACTGTGCGTCATACAGCAGCTTCGGCTTAAAGTTAGCCATCTGACTCACGTTGCGCTTCCACCGAGAGGCGGGAGTCTGTGTACCGATTGTTTCATACTACTTGCTGGAACGGAAGAAAGTTGAAGAGGAGATACTGCTCGGTAAATTGGCCGTGAAACCGTCTCCTTCTCCTCGCTTATAGGTAGCGATGGCCACGAGACGATTCGAATCTGTTGCGACCAAAGTTTCGAGTCCCTTTTTAGAAACTATGAAACTATTTTCAACCGATTTATAACTCTCGCGCATATATTATAATCGTATCTATTCGATTTCCAAAAATGTCTCGACATAGGAAACTTTGGGACTCGATGATTTAGGCTATCGCTTCTTTGTCATTTATTCACTGACTTCAGACACGGCTCTGAAAATTTGCAAAAGGGAGAAGCGAAGCGAGTCCGACGCTATCGACAGCGATAAAGGTAAAAAGGTGGCTTGGAAACGAGAGAATAGAATGTACGGGGCGCGACGGTATTGTGGGCAGCCCGGTGGTCGTGTTGGTGATGGTGGAGAGTGTGGGTAGGGTCGCGGGGGCGGATGTACAAGGGATCGAACGCGCGGGGGTGGGGTAGGGGGCGGCAGGTTGAAGGGTTCGGGCGGAGGTGGGGCCCTTGGGAGTTCGCTGTACACGAGAATGGGTCGGACGCGGGACGATCGCGATTAACATTCCGGCCGCTAGCTCGCTGTTCGCGCGGCGCTTTCATTAATTCCAGCGTATTGATTCCCCGGATTGATGAATGGCCGCCGATAGCGATTCCATGCGCTCCGTACTCCCCTCGCTCCCGCTGTTCCCCGCTATCCCGGATCGCGTATAAATTCTACCTCTCGCAGGATTTTAACTCAATTCCCGCTTTACTGGGGCTCGCCTTCACCGTATTCTTTCTACCGAAACAGCCCTGCTCCCTCGAAGCGTATGTTTCTCCTTATTTATTCACTTCCTTCCTCCATCGATGGAGATACAAAGGCTTATGCCTCGTTTCCATCGGAACCGCGTAGAAACGAACGTCCCAGCCTCACGCGTTTACTTTTCAACGTGCGACGATTACCAGACCATGCACTGCTGACAGCTCGAAGACATTGACTCGCATTGCACCCTCGTAAATATCCATTCTGCTGTCTACAATACCTCCATCAGCAATTTTCAATTTAATATATAAATTTAGCAGAGTAGAATCGCAACAAGGCAATCCTGTATCCACCAAAATCGTGCAAATATTTCTGTGCTCCATTCGGCATGATCCACTCGTCCTCAAATTAAATTACGATATCGTACCGCGATTACGTGTGTTGCTGCGTATGCAGTACCTCCCATCAGGACTAAGGGTATCGTTAAAAACTGCTGTTACGCGAGCCGTGTAATAAACAGTTCCTAATGGAAAACGTTACGCCTCGGTATCATCGGATACGTCCGTGTTTCATTGTTTTCCTGCGAAAACGTTCCGTTTTTCTGCCTTTTCCCCCTTTGAAGAGAGCAGAATTTAATTACATGCCGGCCAGCTCTTAACGGAAAGCAATTTCCTGCCGATGAAAACGTCCCGTGGCACGACGAGTTGCTCGGGTCGAACCTCGAGCCGATCCTGATTCGATTCCTGCGGCCGAAAGCCGATCAAGGTCGCAGGACGAGGTCGTCGGGTTTCGTTTGGTGGTGACACCGACCGGAAAAGGCATAAACTAACTAGCCGTTTAAAGGTCTAAGGAGTTCGTGTTATTTCCAACAGATGGCGACGGCGATAGCAGGAAGAAGTGGAAAAAACAGGGTGGAGCGTGTCTGACAGCTGGGTGGGTTCTGGGCCAAGGTGATTGAAAACAGGGTGGAGCGTCACGTGACGCCATAGTTGGATATGGAAGTGACGTCAGGCTGCTATGATGGCCTCTAGTTAACAAAATGGCTCCGTCCAGGGAATTTCTTTGTCTCCCGTAGTAGCCGTTATCGCTCTCGGAGTACACGTTGTTGCTCCGTTTCCGTAAACAACGGATGGAGAAGAGGTCGTTGCATCTATTCCACACGACTGTCTCTTATCGACTACGTAAACCTATCGTATTTAACAGGAAGTAGACCTGGAAGACACCTTGAAGACACCCTGGTTAAGTTAAGAACAACTGGACAGAAAACGGATCCAAAATAATTAAATCACCCTTAAGACAACCTACCAAGGCAGACAAGAATTGCAAATTTACTTAAATAGTACTTTCAGATGAACTAAAGAACTGAAATGGCTCTCGAATGAGATACGCTTATTTTAATGAGTGTTTCGGGTTTCCTGCGATAAAGTGGCAGTGAACGCTAATTGGGCATCAAAGTTGTCACGCGGTAGGTAATCGAAGGCCCGAAGGTACGAACGATTGTCGAACGTAGCAGGCGAAATTGGTCGATTAAATAAACGGCGCGATATCGCGCGGACAGCTGGTCCACTAAAGATTGTCGAGCGATGCATGGTGGCGGTATTTGACAGTTACGGGACCCGCGGCTCGTGCCAACCGTTCGCACGCCGTAAAACAGTCGTAAAACTGAAGGAGCTCGTAAAACTGGAACCCTCGATCGGGCCACCTACGGTAGCGAGGTTTCAGCAGTCAGCAGAAAACTGCGACCTTGAACGCATTCCTCTTCCTGACAGCAACCGCCAGGAATTCTCGATCGTGCACTTCCTGTTCCTTCAAAAATGTGTTTTCGCTGATCCGGCGGGTTTAGACTCGGAGATGCCTTTGACGAATGGTGAAAATTTTTTAAATTTCAAGTCGTCTGATCATTGTTTCGTCGAGATTAGAAGACGTAAACTTTAGGTAACTACACGAGTACAGTTTGAAAGCATCCAAGACGATGAATATTTATACCGACTCTCGCAAACACGCCGATATCGTATCTATCTAAATAATTAGGAGTTAATCGCTGGTTGTATTCAGCTAAATTAATTGTAGACCGCTAATTGAAACTACGCCTTGTAATAGCCAGCCAATATTCACCGAGACCGGTTCGGAGGAGTGACTCGTAACGACTGGAGCATACTCGGTTGGTCTCTTAAACCGCGACTCATTTTACTCGGTTAATTCAAACAGAATAATTACATGTATACGACTTTTTTCCGCTTAATAACTGCTTTTATTTACAGCAAATTGGCCGCTCAGCTGCGCGTTTATCACGGCCTGCAATCAGGCTCGCCACCATCCTCTTTAACGCGTACGCTCGGTGAACGCCAAACGACGCTGTTGATGGCGATAATTGTTCGTTAAAAAAGAAGGAACAAAAAACACCAGGATTCATTACTAGCTTCCAACGTAATCGTGCAATTCGTAACGATCGAAAGAAATCGGTTCAATAAATTCGATGATTTACTAGCTTTCGAAATGGCAATTGAATAAGGAGATTCTAGGTTGAAACAATTTCCAAGTACAGCGGAGGCTCGAAGATTCGTGGTAAGCAAGACCGAAATAGGCTCGCGAATTGCCGTGAATTCAGATTAAATGGAACGAGATAACTGCGAGTCGCCTGCGGTCTTATCGTTGCATCCCTTCATTGCCGCAATGCCTCGCCACCTCTATGGAGCCCATAAATCTGCAAAACCGCGCTACACGCAAGAAGACACACACAGAGTGGAATGCTGAACGATGTTATCGGCGAAAACGTTTCGCACATCGTAAACATAGACTAAATCTTTCCCGGAACGCGATCTCGAGTCGAATTAACCCCGGCCTGACTCGGATTCGAGCCACCAAGACACCGTCACGCGGAGAATCGTTAATTAACATCAACTTCCCTGACTCGGGTAGTCGAAACACGGCTATCGAGTTTCATAACGCTCGAGTATATCTCCAAGGAGTTACGAGGACTGTGTCGGAAACTTCAAGGAACCAGGATGCATGCCAGACTCGGCCGAATCGTCCAGGTAATCGGTAAATAAATATACACACGTTTGCACCACTTTGCGAGAACGTCACATTTACGTTGCTTCGTCACTTTTATCCAAGAGAATCGGTACGCTCGAGCTACTCCAGCCACGGAGCGAG